TATGCAAACATTGAATCCCAGCTCTTCTCTTAAGCTCATGGCTTACAGCTTCAATTGAGCCACCAATGTTTCTTTATCCACATCATTTATTTCAAAGCCCCTTTGCTCTCCTCAAACCCTTCAACTTGGCAAACTAAGGCACAGGGATCAAATCTGGCCATCATCCTGCTTTCAGAAATAGTTGTAATGCAACACAGCCACACTCATTTGTTTACCTGCTGGCTGTGGCTGCTTCATGCTACAATGGCACACTGAAGTAGGGGGCAGGGATCCAAGGGTCAGCAAAGTGGTAAAATACCTACGATCTAGTCCTTTACTAAATAAATTTGCTGATGACTGCTCTAAACCTAACATCTACTCCCTTTTCTCTGAACAGACAAGCTTCCATGGAACACAGGATATAAAGTGAGTATATTGACTCTCAGACCAGAAACAAAAACAAACCTGATTCTGCATCCATGCATTTCTCCCTCTACTGTATGGGAATCTCCCTGTCTGGCATCTGATTCCATTCCTCTTATCTTCTCAGTAACCCATCTACATTCTGCTTTCTGATGTCTTATCATCACTATAACATACTCGTACTGCCCACCAAAAAAGGAAAAACAAAAGAAACCCAAGTTAAATTCCATCTCATGCCTACATTTTTTTTTTTTTTAATATTTATTTATTTGTAAAGCAGAACCAGAGAGAGGCAGAAGCAGAAGCAGAGGCATCCGCTGGCTCACTCCCCAAATGGCCGCAATGGCCAGAGATGGACCAATCCGAAGCCAGGAGCCAGGAGCTTCCTCTGAGTCTCCCACAGGGGTGCAGGAGCCCAGGCACTTGAGCCATCCTACACTGCTTTCCCAGGCCGTAGCAGAGAGCTGGATCAGGAGTGCAGCAGCTGGGACTCAAACGCATGCCTACATGGGATGCCTGCACCACAGAAAGTGGCTTTACCCACTACGCCACAGCCCTGGCCCCCCTTTTCTCTCTTAAGATCTCATGTGCCCCATGCTTTATACTTGGCCAATCTATTTTATATTTGGCTACTCAGCAGCATGTCTTATTATTGACCATTTCTTCTCTTGAAACTCTCTTCTCCAACTTCTTAGAATGATACTTTTCTTTTATCTGAGTATTCATCTTTTTTTTGGCTCTTCTCTCTGTCTCTGTTTCTGCCCTGATTTTCCCTGTCCTCAGCCCACACAACACTAATTATCTCTACACTGGTGATTCCTGACATTAGAACTGGGATCACACTCACACTTAAGATTCACCTATTGGCCGGCACCACGGCCCACTAGGCTAATCCTCCGCCTTGCAGCGCCGGCACACCGGGTTCTAGTCCCGGTCGGGGTGCCGGATTCTGTCCCGGTTGCCCCTCTTCCAGGCCAGCTCTCTGCTGTGGCCAGGGAGTGCAGTGGAGGATGGCCCAAGTGCTTGGGCCCTGCACCCCATGGGAGACCAGGAGAAGTACCTGGCTCCTGCCATCGGATCAGCGTGGTGCACTGGCTACAGCGCGCCGGCCAAGGCGGCCATTGGAGGGTGAACCAATGGCAAAGGAAGACCTTTCTCTCTGTGTCTCTCACTGTCCACTCTGCCTGTAAAAAAAAAAAAAAAAAAAAAAAAAAAAAAAAAAAGATTCACCTATCAAAAAATGTCCCATAGCAACCTTAAGCTCAACAAACTCCAAACCAAAAAAGTATTTCTTACAAAATTCTTGGGATGCCTGTATCACCAAATGCTACTTCCCTCCCATGATTACACAAATGCAAAACCTGCAAGTCTCACTTCTACTATATGCAATTTACTGTTAAGTCCTTTTAATATTTCTTCTTAAATTCCCCCCCTCTAATCCATCCCAGTACGGATCAATGTACATCCTTTACCTTCTAAGAGGGGTTTCACAATCCTCTCCTCTAACTCCCTACTATCTATGTGAAGACTTAAGATTCTTGATGCTTATGACAAATCCATGTTTAAAATTCTTCTATGTTGGCCGGCGCCGCAGCTCACTAGGCTAATCTTCCACCTGCGGCGCTGGCACACCGGGTTCTAGTTCTGGTTGGGGCGCTGGATTCTGTCCCGGTTGCTCCTCTTCCAGTCCAGCTCTCTGCTGTAGCCCGGGAGTGCAGTGGAGGATGTTTCAAGTGCTTGTGCCCTGTACCTGCATGGGAGACCAGGAGAAGCACCTGGCTCCTGGCTTCAGATCAGCGCGGTTCACCAGCCGTGGCTGCGCGGGCTGCAGCAGCCATTGGGGGGTAAACCAACGGAAAAAGGAAGACCTTTCTCTCTGTCTCTCTCTCTCACTGTCCACTCTGCCTGTCCAAAAAAAAAAAAAAAAAAAAAATTCTTCTATGTTCATAGGTTGCCTCACTCCTTTAAAAAGGCCTACAAAAATACCATGACCCTGGCTTATGGGTCTACAACTGTTCGTTTCCCTTTACACATTAAGATATGCCATATTCACATACATTACCATAAATATTGCATATGAACCTTAGTCACACTCTGGGATATTACTAACAGGTTGGATGACACTACCAACTAAGCTACCTAACTCCTACTAAATCTCAATTTAACATCACTTCCTCAGGAAAAACAAATGGTACTTCTACTCCCACCTCCTTGATTCCTATTACAACAGTTACCAAACACTGCATTAAATAACCCCACTTTCTTCAAGAAAACAGACCACTAGAGGATAAAGCTCTTTATCATTGAAAACAGTGTTCAGCACATACCTGGCACTCCATTTCATTAACTGTTGATAGAAATTAAACTGAATTACGTTTATTTTGATCTCTTTATTACATGGTGATGTGGGACCATTTCTCAACCTTGTCTTCTACTGATTCAAGTGTCTGTTTTATCATTTGTTGCACTTATCATATTGAATGAATCCAGCTTTACTTTTAATTGCATGTCATTTTCATTTTTCATTATTGCCCCTTTGAGTTTGGTATTTTTAAAGCACCTTATAAAGTATATATTCTAAAAACATTTTATTCATGGTGTTAAATCTATTTTAGGTTAAAACGAGCATCAGAGTCCTTAAGACACTGGTTGCTTTTTGTGTGCTGCAATTATTATTCATAAATACCATTTTTTTCTTTTCTTCCATCTATTAAGGCCTGGTTGGAATTAGAGCAAAAGGGTAAAATTATATACTATAGGAATTATTTGGCTGTTATGTCATAGACTAACACAGGACTACACCTGAATCTTTTACACAATGAACAATGATGAAGAATAGAATGCAGAAGGGGGAAGGATGCACAATCTCTTAACTTAACAAATATTCTATGTTACTAAAAATTTTGAAATAAAATTTAAAAATGTCAAATTTGTTTCTGCCACTATCCACTACTGGAAAAAAAAAAAAATAGTGACCAACACAAATACTACTCTTAGCCTTCTGAGGCAGTAAATGGAGAAAACACAAGTCTTAATCTTAAAGCAGTTTTCAGGGTGCTGTTTGCAGCAGAGTAGGATGGAAAATATAAAATAGAGTTGATTGGTAAAGGTGGAAATGTGACCAAAGACTCGTCCTATTTTACTGTGCTTATACAGACATGTTCCAAGTTTTTTAATCTTTTATTGTGTGTGAGTGTTAGATATAGGGGAAATTTTTTTTCATGACCTTTTATTCCTACCTTGGCCACAATTTTGAAACACTGATTTTGTTATTAAGAGGGTTCAGGAATATCCAGCTCCAAATATGATTTTTGATGACAGCAAATGATTCAACTGTCTGGGTTAAATGAAATTAAGAAGGGGTAGCAGAATGGGGCCAGCACTATGGCCTAGAAGATTAAGCTTCTGCCTGCAGTGTCGGTATCCCATATGGGCACCAGTTCAAGTCCCAGATGCTCCACTTCTAACCCAGTTCCCTGCTAATGCACCAGGGAAGGCAGCAAAAAATGACCCAGAAGAAGCTCCTGGCTCCTGGCTTCTGATTGGCCCAGCTCTGGCCGTTGCTCCATTTGCAAAGTGAACCAATGGATGATCATCTCTCTTTCTCTTCTACGTATCTTTGCCTTTCAAATAAATTTATCTTTTTTTTTTTTTTTTAAAAAGGGGGGGTGGCAGTACCAAGGAAAAGGTGATCTTTTACATTAATAATATATAAGAATAAGGCATTCAATGTTGATCATATACACATGTTAAAACAAATAAATGTGTAGTAGCTCACGGTTGAGTAAGTCATTAGTAGAGCCTAAAAAATACAGATTTCCTAGGTAGAAAAGATAATTACTCTGCATGTTATATCAAATACAAGGTTTTTTTTCCCAAGCCATCATACTTATCTAAGTTTTTAAAATAAACACAAAATAAGTCAATTAATTCTGAATAAGTAGTAATAACTTTATTTTAACTCAATGTGCTGAAATGCAAAAAATATTTTCAGCAACAAATGTATCTCGTTAACATCAACTGATTAAAAATGAGGCTGAAAAGTTAAATAAACTTTTATACATCTGAATCTTGAAAATTAATTTCCACCATAATTAGTTAAATAATTTTAGCAGAATTTTATTTTCAAAAATGGGACTCAAGTAAGTTATATCTTCATTTTAAAAACTGAATGCAAAATTAACTGGGTTACAGTATACAATGATAAACTAACAACAGAAAAAGATTTAAATATAAGAATTCCTTTTTAAACATAAAGTTCACATACTGCAAACAGAAGACAAGGTGTGATTTCATTCCTAGTGAAGAAGTCTTGCATATGGTAGGCACTCAATATTTGTTCAACTGGACCTAACATTAACATCATTCCATGAACACTTAAATAAAGTAGAGCTCATAATCTGTATAAAAAAGGTTTGCAAAATACTCTTATGTGTGCTGAAAGTGCTGTCTTTATAATTTGAGAACACTAAAACAAACCCACTCATCCACCTACTTTTTTTTGCAAGAATACACTGAATATTTTTATTTCACCCATCAAGAGCATGCTATCCAAAAGTCAGAATTAACCACTTTGAGAGTATAACTGGCTAGGAAAAATGCAAAATTGTTGTCAGATATTCACAAACTTAACTTACCAAATTCCTTGTATTTTAGTAACACTAGGTACTTTCTATGATCCACAATTTTGTAAAGAATTCTGCTTCGATTTGAAAGTTATACACAAAACTTAAATGGATAGGTTAGTTAGTAATTATACTTTTGACAATTTAAGCTCTCACTTAGATATAGCTTAAAAATAAATAAAAATGTTCATGACAACTTTTTCAGAGATCTTTGATAATATTTAATTTTGTTATAACTGATGACCTAAAAAGGCACTATCTTCACATTTTATCATGCAGTAAATTGAACACATTTTTTTAAGAATTATAATTTGTCAATTAACTGTGTCTCCAAATAAAGCACATTTAAGTGAAATATTTCAACTAACCTGAACTTTCAACATTAAACTGAGTCCTAGTTTCAGAAATACACTCTTTGAACAAACCACACACAAGCCCAAGAAATACAGGTACCCACATACATACGTACACACACACACACACACACATACACACACAATCACATAATTCATGCAAGATTCTCCAATTACTATTTCAAGACAATGACACATGAGTATTCAAGGAGGTAACATTGGCAAGCCATAGTATGGCACCTTCATATTTGTGCTCCAAATACCAATATACATTAAATTTTAAAAATGAAAAAGGCACAAATACAGTATTTCTAGATCTTAAAGAACAGTTATCCAATGGTTATTTTTTAAACATGTATTTAAAACCACTCACTACTTTCTAAGGAAAAGCCCTACTTGGGTGACAAAAGGGAAGCAGGAGCAGGCTGATAAATTGAAAGGCAAGATTGCTCTGGAAAGATCTGTGCCTATTTTGAAAACAATGTGTTTTAAAAATGGAAGAAGAAAAAGGCAATTAGAGCACTTGCTTCAGAATACATTAAGTTTTTTATCATTGTCTCAAGAACCCACCATACCAAAAATATACATAATAAATAAAAAAATAAATCAACTACCATAAGATTCTGTTAGTACAATGGTAGGCATTGTATTACCTGAAAAGTGGATACTTTTATAACCATGGATATTCTCATAGCACAGTGTTTGACATTTTTGGTACAAAATGTGCTACCAAACTTAAAAATCCTTATGAAATCCTTAGGATTTGCAATAAACACTACAGTAGGCAAGGGTAAGCTGAAACGTTCACTATACAGTATGATTATTGAAGTCATTGTGGCTAGAAATGTAGATTAGAGCAGTGAATCAATTCTCAATGTGCCATTGTGCTGTCCTTTAGATATATCCACTTTTTCTTGATGACAATATTAATTATCAATTTGTTTTCCTGTAAGACTGTTAAAATCTTAAAAGTGTATACATAGATGTGTACACTTATTTTTTATATTCCACATGTAAATTTAATAGGCTCAATCTTAATGGTGGAGTAAAGGAAGTGAATTTCTATTCTCCACAACATTCTTACTTAGGACGAAGTCCATTACCAGGGAAGAATATTTCTCCTATTCCAAGAGATTCTTCCAATTTAAGTTACCACAACAATTAAACATCAATTAAACATCAGAGAAAGAAGCTAAATCTGAAAATGTGACCTTTCAAAATCCTGTTTGTTGTGGATAACAAACGCTTATTTTGATAGTGCCTGCTCAAAGTAAGTTATGAATCAGTCCTGATATGTTTTGATTCCTTCAGTTAACACCTAGTAAAGAGACAGCAAACAAAAAACCTATTCTCAAGCTTCATTTTTTTCCTTTTGCCCTGAACTGAAAAACTAAACAAATTATATAAATTCTAATCTGCAGAATAAAGTTATATATGCAAACACATAGTTATATGCATTTTTTCCCCAGTGACACACTTTTCTCTTGTGGCCAAATATAAATCTTACCTAAGAAGCACACTGCACTGCTACAGTAAGTCAGATCCAACAGCCTGACACTGATTGCTCCTGCTTCTCTGGGACAATGCACCAAAACAGACCTTCTTTAGGAACACAACTAACAAACACTGAACATGTATATATGTGTTTAAAGCTAAAATTCATTTATAATAAAGAACTGGCCCATGAAAAGCAGTTTATAAATAGTTTATCCTGTTCACATTATGCAGAATTTCAATATCATCCACAATGTTAGTACAGTAACTGAAACACAAAGGAGAAAACAAGGGGAGAAAAGCTTCATAGTGCAGCCTGAAACAATCTAAGAGTTCTCTCCTTTGTATGCATCTTGCACAGGCAAATTCTATTAGTTCACTATTTGAAAGAGAGTAGACTGTCCAGGATTTGTTTATTGTTCAGGTGCCTTTTCCAAAGTATGAAAAAACAGGAATATGAATATCTGAAATTCAAACCAATTTAACTGTAATCAAGGAGACCCTTCTTATCTATTATCACAAACATCCCAGTTGCTTCCATCTGTCTTAAAAAATTATTTCAAAAGTTAAGACACAATTAATTACACCTTATTAATTCCTTCAAAAACAGGAAAAAATATATGTACCATTCAGCATACAAAAGTTACACATTAAAAGTGCATATATATCTTTCTTAATTGGCCCACTCATTAAATTTACATTTGGTCATCCTTAACTTTTAACATGTACAGAATTCCTCATATAAATGTAGGTCACTATAAATTAAAAAAAAATACTTCAGCAGAAAACATGCTTTCTTATTGAAATCTTAACCTCAATTAGTTATCAATCATTGTAAATTTGGATAAACCCACAGCTTGTTGAATAGTTAACAAACACCACAAATTTTACTAAAAGTCTGGGCCAACTCATTGCATATTTGCCCCCTGAAATGAAAAATAAATTAGAACTGAAGCAGTGTATTGCCATAACTTACCTTGAAGGTAAGCAGGTTCTTCTATATTTATACAACTCAGACTGGAGACACTACTGGTAATCTCCAATACAAGTGCTTTTAAGGAGAACCTACATTTAAACTTTGAGATAGCACAGGACAAAACCTCTAAATTCATTTTTCTTTTCTCAAAATAATGGAAGATCCTTTTGAAACTTAGTATTTTCAGTTATCAGAATTACTGCATTATGGAGCTAGTGCAATCCTGCATAGCCTGGTCAAAATGACAAGGCACAATAAAAAAATTAAAGTATTGTATGAACAAGAGAAGTCATTGAAGATAATTTAAGGCCTTGAAGTGAATTAATCAGTCTAATTTAAAGCTGAAGAATAAACCATAAATTATCCACCTGAAATGCAAGTAATATGCTTTTCACCATCTGTTCTGTGGACAAGAAAACAGATACAACTCTTGCTTATGGTTTGTGTATTAGCATCCTTCTGGACCTGGAGGAGTAAAGGTCAATTCCATTTTTCTACTGTTCATGGACGATTTCAGGACTGTTTTAGCCGTTTGCGAGGAATGCCAAACTGTGGACACTGTGCAGACGCCAGTGCTCGGAAGGCTTCGGCTACTAAATGAGGGTGTGACTGAATCATGGACTTCCACCCTGATGTTTCCATTATGTCAGTTGCTTGACTGAAAAATAAAATTAAAAAATGTTTAAGCAAGAATACATTTGAAATGCACTGTCAACTTTTTTTCTTAGTGGATTTCATGTATTCAAATCATTTGAGTTTATTACAACATTATCAATCTTAACAGTATTTTCTGTTGCAACACAAACTACTAAATTTTTCTGGTCATTTTAATGTACCTGCTCATTCAAGGGCCCTTTTACCTCACTCTTAGAGGAAGATTTTCTCCTTTCCAATTTTGCCATTTCCTCTTTTCCCTTAACAGCTAATCATTCCTTCTACCTCATCTACTCTTCACAGTCTTAATGATCATATTCAATAATTACCTAGCGATTTGCTAAATGGTTGGCCTCTCCTGAAAGATCATTCCAACTACTTGTTCTTTTTACCTGAATGTGCCTCAAGACTCATATATTCAAGACTGTCAGATGAGAACTCATTGTCCCTCTCCCTAAGTCCTGAATTCTTCCTCCCCCATTTCCAATCAGCTAAAGGAAGCTTCCACCAATATTCAGTGACTCAAGCCAGAAACCTAGTAGATATCCTAGACTCTGTTCTTTGGAATCAATCACCAAAACCCTATTTTGATTCCCAAAGACAAATGGAGCTCCTGGTTAAGGCCCATATCATCTCACAGATTATCAGCAGTCTCTTAATTTGTCTTTCAGGTTCCTATCTTGTTCATCTCAAGCTCTGTTCCTACAATGCTGCCTCAATTACATAAACATGACTATGCCATGTTCTCTTCTATATTGTTTACCACAGTCTATACCCAAGTTGTTTAGAAAGAGAAATCTGACTTCTTATTGTAGGCTCCCTACTTCCTCTAACTTTCTACTGCCTACTTCCATGTTCTAGCATTATATGCTGGGATCATAAATTGCTTATAGTACAATACATGCAACACATTGTCACTGAACAGTTAGAGAGACAGACAGATAGGAGGGAAGAGGGGAGGGAGGAAGGAAGAGACGGTGAGAAAAGGGAAAACAGGAAAGTTTCATTATATTCTTACAATTTTATCTATGAACTATATACAAATCTGTTCTCTTTTTATTAAAATCACATTAACATGAGAATTGATAATTGTGTTGTAGTAATTATGCATTTGCTGTGACCCTGAGTCTAATAAATTCCTTAAAAAGACAACAAAATTGAAAAACAAAATCAAATGTTGAAGCAACAAATCTAGATACCCTTCATTGCCTCCTCTCTTCTCTTCCTTACACTACCCACTATCCAAATTATACTCAAATATTATAGATTCTCCCTTCAAAAATACTATATACTTTTCTTTCTTCCCAGTTTCTGTCATCTATCAAGTTTAATTTTACCTTTCATCTCCTGCCTGAACAAACTGCTCTACCTATATTTAACCTTGTTCCTCCACAATTCCAACCTCCTGTCCTTTCTCCATTCCATCCCTAAGGTAGAGAGCATGTTAACAATTTAAACCCGATCATGCTATATCCTAGGAGAAAATCCTTTCCTGGATGCCCACTATGCTTTGAAACCCATCTAAAAGTCCTATTATTTTTACATGGCCTTCCAGGATCTGATTTCTCCTTGTAATCTCCAGCTTTATCTCCTTACTACTCCCCTAACCCCTGCCTCTCACTCTATACTACTCTCCTTAATCAACATTTTGCACATCTCATTCCCCCTTTCTAGGATACACTTTCCTTCCTCTCTTCCCTGTTTGTATGCCAGGGTAATGCCCACCAACAGCACAAGTCTCTATTCTTACAGCAATTTTTTAAAAAGGCTTTCTTTGACCACTAGATTAAGTTATGTCCCTTTGTTACATGCTCCTATGGGCACATTGCTATACATTATCATCATTTTATTGCAAATTCCTGTTTAATTACTTATTTAATTATTAATTAATCTGCTAAACCATAAAAGTCCATGAAGGCAGGGATAAAAATCTGCCATACTCACCACTATATTCTCATACTGAACACAGTGATGTATGAATTTGCTAGATAATAAAATGTAAGTATCCAACACATGAAAAATCAACAAGTGCTTCATGCTCTTCTTTAGTTCATGCTATTCTTCTTGTCTATAATACCTTCTGATTCCTTCCTAATTCTGCTATTCTTAGTCCTGTTTTCAGACTCAGCTCAACCATTTTCAGAAAGCCATCCCTAAATCTCCAGGCTATGTCAAGAACCTGTACATACAGCCTCCTCAAACTTATTACTTACCATATTAAAATGAAGAGATATTCATGTATCTATCCCTATCAGATACTGAATTTCTCAAGAACGTAGACTGAGACAGAACAGAATGTTTGTTAGCTGAACTAAACAGTTACTGATATTAAAACTTTTAACTGCCAAACATTGAATTATCAGTGTGTTATTATGTTTAAACTTTCCACTAGATGTTTAGAATCACAGTTATCTGTTAACAGAATTGATCTTTTCACTTATTCATTCAATTAATACCCATGTCTGTACATACAGTACAGCTTTATACAGTGTATAAAATAAGTTTTTTTGCTTCTGAAATTACAAAAGTTATATAATGTATTTTCCTAACAGAATAAAAAACTGGGGCTTGAGATTGACAAAAGTACTGGGGCCAGTGCTGTGGCACAATGTGGCACTGGCATCCTATATGAGCACCAGTTTGAGTTCTGGCTGTTCTGCTTCTGATCCAGCTACGGGCCTGCAAAAGCAGCTGAAGATGGTCTGAGTATTTGGGCCCCTGCCACCCATGTGGGAGACCCGGATGGAGTTCTGGACTCCTTACTTCAGCCTGGACCAGTCCTGGCTATCGCAGCCATTTGGGGAATGAATCAGCGGATGGAAGATTTCTCTCTCTAACTTTACCTTTTCAAATAAATAAATCTTAAAAAAAAATATGGAAAAGTACAAAGGATCCTAGACTTGCCATTTGCTGCTAATATGGCATATTTTAAATTCAAAAGGATTATTTTCTAGGATCACATACCATTATGGTATTATATTGCCATATACTGAACAATATACAGGACAATCAATTATTTAAAGGTAGTTATTACTTCTCACTTTGAGAAAATAGAATTTACGAACTAATGGCAATTCAGTTAACCAACTTCACATATATCAAAACAGATGAAAGTAAGGGGAATAAGTCATTTCATTGTTTTTACCACTGTCCTTTTGTTTCATTTTCATAAATATCAACTCTTGCTAATTTACGAAAGTGGAATGTAAGGGTTCACAGGCTAAATTAATCGAAAGTAGATGCAAGATACTTAACATAACAGCTCTTTTCCCTTTTTGATTTCAAATAATCACAAAGAACACAAAAGTCAACCTAAAAATTAGAAGGGGAGAAGTAAGCAATAGTTAAGTTCTAATATCTCATATTCAGGAAAATCAGGCTTAAAAGGATATAGAAACTATCCAATTCCCTACAGGTTTTCTGGAGAAAAGGAAAGATCAACCTGCTACCATTTTTGGAACTGTAGCCAGCTAGCTTAATACAGCAAATGATGCAAGATACTTGACTAAGCTAAGAAGCAGTGAGTTAGCAAATATAAAGAGTTTCTAAAAAAATCTGGAGGGTACATTCTTCATAGGATTAAATAAACAATTTCCCACATTTTTGGAACTGCTTTCTGGAGAGGCAGAAGCTGAATCTCTAGCAGTCCCTATAATATCTGCACTTGGCTATATGTGCTTAAGAAATTAAGGGTGTCCATCCTAGTTAGCATTAAAAGCTGATCTACCAAAGGAACACAGCATCAGGAATCTACTAAGCAGTCAAATTACTTTTCAAAAATAATTGCTAGTATGCATCATAAAACTAATATCTGGATTCATACTTATTATAGCTGAACAAAAGACTATGCAAATAATTTCATTTATGCAGATCAGAAACTAATGTCAACTTACTTGCTGTTCCAGTTTTTCCCATCTTTACACCCAAGCTGTCGAAGTACACTGCACCTGCATTGAAGATTTAAGCACACTTAAAAAAAGTCTGGTGAAAAAATGTAGAAGGTGTCAAGCACACTGAAATACAAGCATAGCTTACCTATTAATAAAGTCTATGGCTTGTGCTTTCAACTGTTCTGCACTGTGCAAATCTGCAAGGACAAGGGTATCAGCAACATTTTCTACTGAGAGGTTACTACACAAAGCTTCTTCACACATGACCTTCAGTCGTTCCAGTGCATACTATCCAAAAGGAAAATATAATCATTATACATTAACTCCAACCAAGTTTTCAAATACATGGTATTTGTAACAGAAAATAAAGTAGATTATTCTTAGAACTAGGGTTATTTCAAAAGCCTTTAAATAACTGTTTTAACCTAACACAAATGCATCTAAAATAAAGAATAATTTTATTTAGAAAATATTTAGGAGCAAAATCCAGTATATTTTTTAAAGTTAAATTTTATGCTAAAAAGCTACCTATTACTCAAAATGCTTAATATTTCTTTACTATTTCAAACACCACAGTGTTCTACCCTTGTATCTTATCACTACTCAATCATGAAGAATGAATTCATTATAAAGTTAAACAAATCTTAAAATCATTAAAAATCCTTGCAGTTATTAGTGTATATATTAACATTATATAACATCTTTCACAGTTTTATTGAGGATCACTTGAAAGACAATAAAAGGTACATAAATTTTATAATTTGTTAAGTTTATATGTCACACAACTATCATCACTTCAACACAATAAACATATCCATCATTCCCAAAAAGCTTCTCCTCTACCTTTGTAATGTTTCCCTTTCACCCCACCCCAGGTAAAACCTCTAATGTTTTCTATCACTCTACATTCGTCTGTGCTTTCTGCAAATGGAATCATAAAGGATGGACTCATTTTTGTCTGGCTATTTCACTTGATATTGTTCTGAGATTCATGCATGTCACCAACTGTGCATCAACATTTCTTCCCTTTTTATTTCATGGTAGTATTCCATTGCATATGGAAATACAACAATTTATTTATCCATTCAACTGCTGATTAACAGCCAGGTTGCTTCCAGTTCCTAGTTGTTACAATTAAAGCTACTATGAACACCCATATACAAGTCATCCACATACATGGACATGTGCTTTCTTCTACCTTAGTTTTGAAAAGTAGACTCATTGGATCATATTCCAACTTTTTAAGAACCTACCAAACAATTTTCCAAAATGGTTGAACCATTTTACATTCCCATTAGCAGTGCATGAGTCCTGATTCTTCCACTGCTTGGATTATACTCAGTATGGTCTTTGTAATTTTAGCCATTATGGTAGATATGTGTAAGTACCTCATGATAAAATTTTCCCACGTAATTACTGATGTCAAACAACTTTTAATGTATTTCACTTGTATTATTTAAAAACAGTATCCACACAAACATTTTGTTTTTAGAAACAGCATTGTCTTCTTATTACTGAGTTCTGAGAATTCCTTACAAAATTTGAAAACCAAAGTCAGATGTATCCTGGGTAACAGCTAGTCATTCAATAATGCTGTGCAAATATTTTCTTCCAATGTGTGACTAATTCCTTTATTCTCCCATGTCTTTTGAAGGAAAAAAAAGTTTAGAATGTTAATGAAGTTCTATTTTATCATCCATTTACTTTATGGAGGTTTCCGGTGCCATAGCTAAGAAATCTTTGCCCAAACTAAGATCACAAAGACTTTCTCCTATGGTTTTCTTTTAGAAGTTTTAGATTTTTAGGTTTATGAGCCATTTGGCATTACTTTTTGTATGTGCTACAAATACGCATCAAAATTCCTTTTGGGGATATATGAGTATTCAATTGTTCTAATATCACTGGTTGAAAAGACTTCTGTCTCTTTTGCTTTGTACTTTTGTAGAAAATTAGATCTTCAGATATGTGAATATACGAATGTATTTGTGTTTGGACACCAACACCACACTGTCATTATTATTAAAGCTGCATAAGTCCTGAAAACAGGCAAAAAGTTAGTCCTCTACTTTAATGTTCTTTATCAAAGTTTTGGATCATTCTAGATCCTTGCACTTACATATAAAACTTTAAATAGATTCCCAATTTTAATAAAAAAAAGTCTGTTAAGATTTTGAAAGGGCACATATTGATTTCTAATCAACTCTTTTTTGAATGGAAGATCATAAATACACATATTTATTCTAAGAAATATTTTAAAGAGAACTGATAATTTAATAATATTGAGACTTTCAGTCTAGGGACAAGATCTATTTCTCCATTTTTCTGGGGATTCCTGAATTTTTCCTGGCATTAGTTTGTAATTTTTGGTATATAAACCTTGAACATCTTTTGTCAGATTTATGTCAATGTATTTAATATTTGCTATTAAAAATAATTTATATTTTTAAAATGTTTTATTGATAGTTACATATGCATGTGCAGATCTAAGAAGTAAGATTTCTGTATATATCTTGTCCCATTTCCTTCAATAGTAACATTTATCTAATGGTATACACACATGTGCTTTAAATACCAAAATCTGCTTTTAGGAATGAGAACTACTGACTTTCTGAGAATTGTTAATGTTTGTGCAGTTTCCCTACTTACAAAGTATTATGAGACTGTTAGCATTGTTTTCCTTTCTATGCTTAAATAGTAACAATTAAATCTATGAATACAGAGAATATAACATGCTTTTGTCATTTTTTAAAAACAAAGATCCTGCATGCATTACAGCTTAAGTCTAAGAATATCTGAAAAATGCAATAATTTTGATATTGTGTTTGTTCTTATAAAAGGGAATATACACTTAAAACTATTGTTTTTATAGTTTAATCTCCTTTGGAAAAAATCAGCTTTTTCATGATTCAAGATATTTTTACATCTTGTCGATTTTTAAAGTCTTATGCTGTTTCATAAAATTCTCAAGAGCATCTACAAATAATATAATATTATAAAGTTATTTGAAATTTTCATTTGATGATAGCATTTTACATAAAATATCAAGCTTAAAGATATTTTTCAACTCTTTAAGCCCTTATTACTTACTTTGTCTGCAGCTGCCAACAAGTTGTCAGCCATTTTATCAAGATTTGGTGCTTTTCCCGTGTAAACAAATCTCATCATTTCTTTAAAAACCTCAGGGTCTAAATCATTTATTTCTACTCGATTCTGATATTGAAAACAACAGACAAAAGAATACACATAAACAAATGAACCCACAAAAAATCCCTAATAATATTAAGAGTACCAAATCTTCACTGAAGTATTTTACAACTCAAAAACACATATACAACACGTATTTCTAAACTCTACTTAAAAACTGAGGTAAGTAGTTTTCAGTAAGCTATTCAAGCAAAGTGAAGTAGGACATAAGAGGAAAAACATACATCACGTAAGAAGTAAGGACCACGATGAACTGGAGAGCCCATACCCTGACACTTGCTCAGACCGAGATAAGAACAACTATGTGGGAATAAAAGCCCCAATCTCTAGTAAAAAGGGTTTACACAAACAAGCTGTAAGCCAATATGCCGTTGTTCAGTTTCTGACCTCTAACTTAGGATAGCTGGCTATTAACTTTCTGTCAAATTCACAGGTCCTGAGAATGCCTAAGATTTGACAGTTCTGGTCCCAAAATAAAGGAAAAGAAGACCAAGTATTTAAGACAACAGAACTCACTCTCTCAGGGCTCTCCATTTTGCAAAAATAGCATATCCTATTATCAACTGGCATTTCTGTGCTTACTTGAGACATACTCAAGTCCAGAAAGGGCTAGTTGCTTTTTCTTTTTGTTAAAGATTTATTTATTTACGTGAAAGAGTTACACAGAGAGAGAAGGAGAGGCAGAGAGAGAGAGAGAGAGAGAGAGAGCGAGCTTTCTATCTGATGGTTCACTCCCCAGTTGGCCACAATCACCAGAGCTGCACCAATCCGAAGCCAGGAGCCAGGAGCTTCTTCCAGGTCTCCCACACGGATGCAGGGGCCCAGGGAGTTAGACCATCTTCTACTGCTTTTCCAGGTCATAGCACAGAGCTGGATTGGAAGTGGAGCAGCCGGGACTGTAACAGCACCCACATGGGGTGCTGGCACTGCAGGAGGTGGCTTTACCCACTGCGCCACAGTGCCAGCCCCAGATAGTTGCTTTTAAATTTCTAAATCTTTGTTTCCTGTTTCTCTCCTGAAATCAATAAATCTAAATAACATTGGGGCTGGTGTTGTGACATAGTGGGTTAAGCTATCACCTGCAATGCCAGCTGGTTGGAGGACTTGCGCTCCACTGCCCATCTAGCTCCCTGTGAATGTGCCTGGGAAAGCAGCAGAGGATGGCCCAAGTCCTTGGATCCCTTCATCGATGTAGGAGACCTGGAAGAAGCTCCTGGCTCCTAGCTTTGGCCTAGCCCAGCCCTGGCTGTTAGAATCATTTGGGGAGTGAACCAGAGGATGGAAGATTTCTCTCTCTCAGTTAACTCTACCTTTCAAATAAATAAAAATTGATCTTTAAAATAAATAAATAAAGATCTAACATTAAGTAATATCAAACTTTTCTGACCCATTGCTGCCAGTAACACCTGACATCACTGATGTCTCCTCACTTGTAAACAACTAGAAGGCTGATCATAGTACTTCCTTCGATCTTCTATCAGAGGAAAGAAAAGTTATTTTATTTCAGCCTCTAGTTCTGCAGAAAGAATAAAGTGAGCTAAAAATAAATTCTGGAGCTGTCCAAATGGAGTTATAAAGACACATATTATGCAACCAGCAAAGAATCAATCTCCAATCTCTAATATAACCACATTTTAAGATGACAGGTGGGAAAAAAAAAAAAACAAACTGAGGAAGTCAAACAGGTAATATCTTGATTAGAGTCAGTAGTGTAATAATATTGACATAATCTATATCCTTTACATTAAATATATCCTAAATATCCTCTCAATTGGTGACAAACTTTTCTTATCACTAGAAAGCAAATTTCAAAATCAATCCCTGAGTACAGAAAGGGGGAACAGATGCAAGGTCTTCATTCTTCCCCATCTTTCTAATTTATTTAAAAATTCCTCTTACTTATCATAGTATAAGAACACACAAATTATTTTTATTTTACATTTTTATTTATTTATTTGAGAGGCAGAGAGACACAGAGAGCTCCTATCTGCTACTTCACTCCTCAAATGCTCACAATAGCTCGGACTGGCAAGGGGATGTAGCCAGGAGTCACAAACTCAACCCACATCTCCCAGGTAGGTGAGAGGAAACCAATGTACTGTTAAAATACATATTCCACTTTTTTATATTTGAAAAAAATATTAGCATTTAAGCCATACCTTTTTGCTTTCTTCCATTTCATGTTCAAACATTGCATTGAAAACTGGGGATCGGGCTGTAACAAGATTAAGCATCATTGTTTACTGCACAGATCTATTTAAAAAACATATTACAATATCCAAAAGTAGAAAGTACCTGCAAGTACAGATTTATGAGCTTTAAATTCTTGTCCTCTCACAAAAAAACTGCAATCTGTAAATCTTGTGTTTTCCCAGAGATCACCTAAATCTTCTGCTAGTCGACATTCAGGCACCTTCAAGGTATTTGTATTAGTATGTCCTGATATGTTTACTGAGTCCTGGACCACACTCACCTAATGAAAAGAGAAATAACAAGAAAAACATTTTCACAAATTAGTAACAATAACTAACTACTAAGCCTGTACTTACATATTTTATCCTTAAAATCGTTTGGATAAATCAGTGTATTCCTGGTCAAAAATCCTAATACCAGGGAATTAAATTTAGGAATTTAAAAAACAGAAACAAACCAGAATTTTTAAACAGTGGCAGCTTATTCAAATAAATGGCTCACTGATTAGCTGAAATGTTTGATTATTAAAGTTACTACAAAAATTATTTCTCAATGGAAAAGCCAAAACGTGTCAAACAAGGAGAATTTATTTCTATGAAGTGGAGGAAGAAATTTTTTATCCTTTCATTTACACTTCAGACCTAATAACAATTAAATTTACTATACTTAAAATTCACAGTTCAAGGCTTATAATGACTTTTAGAGCATAAAAAAGATAATGAAATTATGATATGCAAATGGAAAGTCAAATTTTTATTCATTTGAAAAGCAGATGGATGTGCACGCATGTGTGGAAACACACACACACACACACACACACAAACACACACACGATGGCAGGGCAGAGAGATTTTCCATTTGCTGGTTTATTCCCCAAATGCCTATAATAGCTGGTCATGGGTCAGGTGGAAGCTAGAAACTGGGAACTCAAGTACTTAAACCATCTTCTGCCAACTCCCAAGGCACCCTTTAGCAGGAAGCTAAAACTGGAAGCAGAGCTCGGACTTAAACACAGGCACTCCAATATATGACTTGGGTTATCAAGTGGTATCTTAACTGCTGGGCCAAAGGCCAAATGGGAAGTTTTTAAAGTGTTATTTCTACTGGTTTCCACTCTAGTAAAACTGATTTGAAACAATAAAAGTTGGTACGACTACACTGTTGTTTTTGTGTAGATTCTAAGATTCTAATATAACAAGTATTAAATTATGTTCCTATAAGGATGAATATCTACTGAAAAAAACCCTAAACACTACTGACTAAGTCTTCCACATCACCCTTAAAAAAAGATACTCTATTACTGGAAACTTCACATTATATTTAATTATTAAATACTTACTCAACTAGTAAAGAAAACATTTTGGATTTAATGAAACATTTTTTTAAATAAAAAATGCTATATTAGTAATCTTTTTTTTGAAGATTTATTTTATTTATGTGAGAGTTACAGAGAGAGGCAGAAACAGAGAGAGGTCTTCCATCTGCTGGTTCACTCCCCAAGTAGCCACAACGGATGGAGCTGAACCAATCTGAAGCAAGGAGCTTCTGACAGGCCTCTCTCATGGGTACAGGGGCCCAAGGACTTGGAAAATCTTCTGCTGCTCTCCCAAGTGCATTAGTAGGGACCTGGATGAGAAGCAGAGCAGTGGGGACTCAAACTGGCACTCAAAAGGGATGCTGGCACTGTGGCCTAGGGCTTTAACCTGCTATGCCACAGTTCCGGCCCCAGTAATTTATTGTTTTTGAGCACTAATTTTGAGGTCATTTGTTACATAACAATAGATAGCGGCAATTATTAAAAAAAAATAAGGCTTTCATTAAATAAGGGTATAAATAAGAACAGCCATAAATAAACGATATAGGAAATTTTAATTAGAAATGGATGTACTGGACTAAACTGCCAACATACTAACACATGCAGTATAACAATAGTACAATGTAAATATTTCAAGTATTAAGTCTCAGAAGTCCCTATTCATCCAGATACACAACCATGAATCCCACATGAATGAGTGAACATTTCCAGTGAAAAACTAGAAAACCTTTAAGTTTCAGAGAATATTTTTATAAATCACTTTTTTTTTTCTCATCCACACCTCTTGGAATCATGTGTCATAAAATTACATAATCTACTCAGCTTGTTTTAAAGAGATTTCAAAGTGAGTACAAGACAAGGTAAATAAACGGTCCTTAGTCACACTGCTATTAGTATCAGAGGAAGACTAGAACTAAACTCCACATTTCTTTTTCCAAACAACTCCTTGTAGTACACACTACTTGTTTTTAAAAATAATACTAATTTTTCTTTTTTTTTTATTTGACAGGTAGAGTTACAGAGAGAGAGAGAGAGAGAGAGAGAGAGAAAGGTCTTCCTTCTGTTGGTTCATTCCCCAAATGGCCGCTACGGCCTGCGTGCTACACCAATCTGAAGCCAGGAGCCAGGTGCTTCTTCCTGGTCTCCCATGTGGTGCAGGGCCCAAGGACCTGGGCCATACTCCAATGCACTCCCGGGCCACAGCAGAGAGCTGGACTGGAAAAGGAGCAATTGGGACTAGAACCAGCGCCAATATGGGATGCTGCGCCACAGGCGGAGGATTAACCAAGTGAGCCACGGCACTGGTACCCAAAAATAATACTAATTTGACAGAGAGAGAGAGAAAATTCCCATCTGCTGATTCACTCCTTGAATGCCTCCAATGGCTAGAGGTGGGCCAGGACCAAAGTTGGAGTTGGGACCATGATCCAGGTCTCTCACATAGCTGAGAGAAACACAATTCTTTAAGCCATTACTGCTGCCTCCCAGGGTCAGCAGTAGCAGGAAGTTGGAGTCATGAGATGGAGCCAGGAATAAAGCTCAGGTACTTTGATGTGGGCTATGAGCATCTTAACTGCTAGACTAAACACCTACTCTCACAGTTTCTTAAACTTCTATTTAATAAATATAAATTTCCAAAGTACAACTTGTGAATTATAGTGGCTTCCCCACCCATAACCTCCCTTCCACCCGCAACCATCCCATCTCCCGATCCCTCTCCCATCCCATTCTTCATCACCATTCATTTTCAATTATCTTTATATACAGAAGATCAATTTTTGTATGTACTAAGTAAAGATTTCAACAGACTGCACCCACAAAGACACACAAAGTATACAGTTCTGTTTGGGTAGTAGTTTTACCATTAATTTGCATAGTACAACACATTAAGAACAGAGGTTCTACATGGGGAGCAGGTGAACAGTGACTCCCGTTATTGATTTAACAATTGACACTCTTATTTATGACGTCAGTAATCACCCGAGGCTCTTCTCATGAGCTGCCAAGGCTATGAAAACCTCTTGAGTTCACCAACTCCAATCTTGTTTAGACCAAGCCATGGTCAAATGGAAGTTCTCTCCTCCCTTCAGAGACAGGTACCTCCTTCTTTGGTGGCCCGTTCTTCCCACTGGGATCTCACAGAGATCTTTCATTTAGTAGTTGGTGTTTGTTTTTTTTTGTTTTTTGTTTTTTTGTTTTTTTTTTTTTGCCATAGTGTCTTGGCTTTACATGCCTGTGAAACTCTAATGGGCTTTTTAGCCAGATCCAAATGCCTTAAGGGCTGATTCTGAGGCCAGAGTGCTGTTTAGGGCATTTGCCATTCTATGAGTCTGCTGTGTATCCTGCTTCCCATGTAGGATCATTTTCTCCTTTTTAGTTCTATCAATTATTATTTGCAGACACTGATCTTATTTATGTAATCCCTTGGACACTTAATCCTATCTTTTTGATCAATTATGAACTTAAACTGATCAGTTTAACAAGTAAGATGGCATTGGTACATGCCACCTTGATGCGTTTGAATTGGAATCCCCTAGGCATGTTTCTAGCTCTACCATTAGGAGTAAGTCTGAGTGAGCATGTGCCGAACTGTACATTTCCCTCACTTATTCCCACTCTAATATTTAAAAGTGATCACTTTTCAGTAAAATTTAAATGACTAAGAATAACTGTGTGTTAAAAAGTTCAACCAATGGTATTATGTAGAAAAAAAATACTAAAAGGAAAGAAATAGTAAGTTGTTCCTCAACATTCAGGACAAGGGCTGATCAAGACATTGTTTCTCATAGTGTCCATTTCACTTCAATAGGTTTCCTTTTAGGTGCTCAGTTAGTTGTCACCGATCAGGGAGAACATATATTTGTCCCTCTGGGACTGGCTTATTTCACTCAGCATGGTATTTTCCAGATTCCTCCATCTTGTTGCAAACGACTGGATTTTATTTTATTTTTTTACTGCTGTATAGTATTCTGTCGCTCCCCCTCTTCGTGGAGGAGCAACACAGGACCCTGCGCTGTTCTTTCGTTTGCTCGGCCCTCCCTGGGTTTGCTGCTGGTTCTTCCCAGGTTGGCTACTATCCCTTCCACGGAGGTTCCCCCTGGCCACATTCCCCACTTCCGCAGGGGAGCGGCACACCGCCGGCCGGCTTTCTCGGGGGCTGCACGGGTGTTCCTTCAGCTAGATGTTCCCCTTAGATGTTCCTGGTGCATGCCGTCTCTCTCCTCCTTTATAGTCCTCTTCCACCAATCCCAACTCTGCTACCCACACGCCGAGTACGCTGCTCTCCTCCAATCAGGAGCAGGTCCCACAGTTTATTGGTTGAACTGGAGGCAGCTGTGCAGAAGCTGTTTACTTCTCTCCCAGCGCCATATTGTGGGAGAGCAGATGCATAGAATAAGTCTTAATTCCAGTAACTCAGTCCAGTCCGGGCTGCTCCCCACATATTCTATAGAGTACATATCCCATAATTTCTTTATCCAGTCTACTGTTGATGGGCATTTGGGTTGGTTCCAGGTCTTAGCTATTATGAATTGAGCTGCAATAAACATTAAGGTGCAGACAGCTCTTTTATTTGCCAATTTAATTTACTTTGGGTAAATTCCAAGGAGTGGGATGGCTGGGTTGTACGGTAGAGTTATATTCAGATTTCTGAGGAATCTCCAGACTGACTTCCATAGTGGCTTGACCAGTTTGCATTCCCACCAACAGTGGGTTAGTGTCCCTTTTTCCCCACATCCTCGCTAGCATCTATTGTTGGTAGATTTCTGAATGTGAGCCATTCTAACTGGGGTGAGGTGAAACCTCATTGTGGTTTTGATTTGCATTTCCTTGATTGCTAGTGATCTTGAACATTTTTTCATGTGTCTGTTGGCCATTTGGATTTCCTCTTTTGAAAAATGTCTATTGAGGTCCTTGGCCCATCTCTTAAGTGGGTTGTTTGTTTTGTTTTTGTGGAGTTTCTTGAT